TGGGTTCGCAAGCAACATCAGCAAATGAATACAAGTAACCTGTCTCATAATCTAACTCAGCTGTGCAACAGAACTCTCTTCAATGACCAAAATGTTCCAGAGCAGTGGTTCTAATCAAGTGGGTCGCGACCCCTCTGGGGGGGGGTCAGACAACCCTTTCACAGGGGTTGCCAGATTCGTAACAGTAGTAAAATTACAGTTATGAAGTAACAACAAGAATAACTCTATGTTTTTTGGGGGGGGTCACCCCAACATCAGGAACTGTATTAAAGGGTTGCGGCACTAGGAAGGTTGAGAACCACTGGCCTAGAGGAAAGTTGTATGTTTCATCAGTGCTGAGAGAGATTGTAACTCTTGATGGGAGTAGAAAGTCTCCTCTTCCTCTGGATGGTTTCGAACAACTGACCTGGAGTTGAGCAGCCCACCTGTAACCAGTACACCACCAGGGCTCCAGCATGTAGCAGAGCACCCAAGCTTCCGCGGTCATTCACAACGTTTCCAGCGGCCAGGGCTCGTCCTTCTTCACAATCTGTTCTCAGTCTGGAAGCTTCCGGTAGAACTTGTCCACCATGGGTGACCCTACTGGTATTTGACATCTCTCTTTGGCATGGAGATGCCAACCAACAAGAGGAAGGGCCTCTAAATGAGTCGTCCCAGTGGGTTCAAACATGACAATTGTGAGGATGGGGGGTGGGCCGGGAGGGCTTTATTCTACTGTAGGTTGGGTCTCTAACCAATCTGCAATAGAACACTCTAACCACCATGTAAAGCAGACTGTGCAACGGTTAAGGAACCTTTAGGCTGCTAACTTAAAAGCCAGCGGTTCAAACCCACCAGCAGCTTCTTGGGTTTTCAAGAGCCGGGCAGTGAAATCCTGTGAAGAAACCCTGGGGGGAGTGTGTGTGTGTGGGAGGCAGTTCTACTCTGTCAGGTAGGGTCTGTGGGACGAAATGGGCTGGATGGCCCCCAAAAACAACATAGGAGAGGCTGGAAGGGGAGTGGGGTGCGGGTGGCACAGGGAAGGAGCAGGTCTCCCAGGCATTGAACCTCTGTTGGGATTCAGCTTGTTCACACTGGTTCTGCAGAACTGAAACCTAATTTTTGGTTGAGTTCAGAGAACCAGTTGTTAAAATGGCACTTGTAATCGGGGTTCTCTGGATGGTAGTCAGCTGGTCCAGTGTGGAAATCAGAAATGTACATTGCTTACTCTCTTTATCATTCATTTGCACAGCAGTGTATTCTGGGAGCCCGTAGCAATGTTCATTTCAACCATAGGTATAAAAAACATTAAGCGGAACTATGCTAGTAGTATTTATCTATTCCTTTCTTAAAATTTGTTATACTTTTGATGAAATTCTACATTTTTAGTCTCTCGTGTTTGTTACTTCAGTCAACAAACATAGGATGTAAAGAGAAAAACGTGTCAGAGGAGTCTCGGGGAGGAGACGAGCCAGTCAGGTTGCGATGTAACGACGATGAGAAATACAACTTTCCTCTAGTTCCTAAATGTTTCCTCCCTGCTCCCACTACCATGACTCAAATTCGACCTTGCAAGTCTGGCTAGACTAGAGGATGTACATTGGTACAGATAGGAACTGGAAACACAGGGAATCCAGGGCGGATGAGCCCTACAGGACCAGTGGTGTGAGTGGCGGTACTGGGAGGGTAGAGGGAGAGTGGGTAGGAAAGAGTGAACCGATTATAAGTGACCTCCTCCCTGGGGGATGGACAACAGAAAAGTGGGTGAAGGGAGACGTCGACAGGGCAAGATATGACAAAATAACAATTTATAAACTATCAAGGGCTCATGAGGGAGGGGGGAGCGGGAAGGGAGGGGAAAAATGAGGACCTAATGTCGGGGGTTTAAGTGGAGAGAATGTTTTGAGAATGATGAGGGCAATGAATGTACAAATGCGCTTTACACAATTGATGTGTGTATGGATTGTGGTAAGAGTTGTATGAGCCCCTAATAAAATGATTTTTTTTTAAAGAGAGAGAAAACGCGTCAACCAACTAGAGGATGACACGCGGTCGTTCGCTTCTGCTTTGTGTGACGCCCCAAATTCCCACGAGATATTACACGTGAATTATGCAATTCCTGAAAGTGTTCAAAGAGCCAAAACTATTGTCAGAACAATTGCTGTTAAGTTCAGTAAAGCGGAAAGGTTTTTTTTCCAAAGACGAACATAGTCCCTTCTGAGAAGCTGCCTGTTTCTAATTTAGCTAATACAATGATTACGGTGTAAAGGACGGGGATCCCACTCCGACAGTGAAAACCTTGTTAAGGGTAAGTCACACAGCCCACGATGCTTGGATATAAGCGAAGAATGTTGTGAGTGAGGACGCCAGTCAAGAAACAATACGAAAGTACCTTAACTAGGTTTTATTGTTTTTGTCACGTATTAACATTTTGCAATTTTCTTATAACAATCTAGCTTTGTGCCTCTTTCATTGTTCTTATTTAAGGGTTAACTGTAAGAACTGATAAGCAATCTTGGGGTACATCTTTTTGTACACTTAAAACGGTGGTTACAGGATTTGACTCCCACTGTTGTGTTGAACCCCAAATCCGAACAAGGGCTTTGTAAAGCTCTTCAAACAACTGCCCTTGGAGGAAACCTGTGGTCTCCGGCTCGGCCGCGGCCGGGCTCCTGCGCAGCTTCGCTCCGTCTCCGTGGCCCTTCGGGAGGGCGGACGGATACCGAGGCGCGGCGACGAGCCGAAGGGTTCCGAACGCGGCCGGAAGCAGACCGAGAAGCCCCGAAGTGAGCACCGGCTTACTTCCCGCGGGGAGCATTTCCGGAGAGGCTCGAAAATGCCCGAACGGGTTCGGACGGCTTCGTCGGAAACAGCCGAGCGCTGACGAAAGAACACCGGAAGCTTCCGAAGATGCCGGGGCCGGTCTTCATCGTTTACTCACGCAAACACTCGTTCATACACAAATATTCACTGGGCGCTCACCATATGCTAAGCACAGGTGCCAAGCGCTGGCGACGATCTTGGAAAGAGCCCGCTGCGGGATGGGACTCGGGGCGTTCCCGGCCTTTCCGAAACGCAGCCGAGAGGTTCCGGAAACTCCCGAACCGTCCTCGGGACGCAGCCTGTCCAGCCGGGGCCCGTTTGGCGGAATGAGCCGACGGTGGGCGGCCTCCGCGGCGCGCGCAGAACGGAAGCGGAAACGCGTGTGCCGTATTAAAGGCGTCGCCCCGCCCTCCGCAGACCTCTTTCCGTCTCCGGCCGCGGTAGGGAGAGGAGGTGAGCGCGCCGCTTTCTGTGCGCCCGGCGTGGCCGCC